AAAAAATAAACGAATAAAGCATAATTATTTTCATATAAACATATCATGTTTTTATTGTTTCTCAAATATGTATCAGTTATATGTTTGTGACTATTGACCTCGAATGTTTAAAATGTTTCACGTATCAATGAAATATATTTTAGAAGCTATAACTAAATTAAATCTAAATGTATACCAATTGACACAAATACATAATAAATGAATATTGTTTAAAGTTTATTATCTCAATATTAAGCTGAGTTTACCTATAAGTAGTATAAGTAGCAAAGCAAGAGTCTGAGAGGTACAAATTTAATTTATAAACCACTTATCATGATAGGGCAAAAATTAATTTTAAACCGAACAGGTATGCAATTAACATTTATATTGTAGTTTATAAAACACAAGGTCTTTATAGACTTGACATATTTTCATTGGTACGGAGTTTATTGATTTTAAATTAGAATAAAAATATGTATGAAATATAGTCTTAAACAGTCATATAAGTAATATATTTTATTTAGTTTATGAACCCAAAATAGATTGGTCAATCTAATCATGGCCGTACATTCTTTAAGAACTCTAGTCGTTCTCAAATAATATTATATAAGTATACCAGTACAGTTAGGTGGAGTATATAAATAATAGGGACATAATAATTTACTATTCTAAATTATTATTTATTTCATACAATCATACTAGTTCAGTGAATATCTCAAAGGCAAAACTATATTTTTGGAATTACAAAAATCAATACATTTAAATTCACACTATTAAATGAATTAATACAAAATAAAACAATTATACTTCTTATTAATTCTTATATTAAAATAAATATTAATGATTAGTGAATATATTCTACTTATATTGGCTGAATAACATGTACATATCAATTAATATTGGTTACATAACGTTTCAAATTTTCAATAAATTACCTTTAACATTTAGTTTTTTAAACGAAGGTGAACATCTTATATTCATATTAAATCGTCTAACATAATAATATGTAACAAGGGCGATAAGGGAGTAAACCGGTTTATTTTAATTTCAGGGGGAATACGGATATCTTACAAAATAAAAAAAACACTGTTTATAATATAACGAAAGCAAAATAATCTTTTTCTAGGTAATCAACTTTTTGGTGGATACAGTAGATGTATGCATACAGATATTCAATTGGTTAAATACAGTTTAATTTATTTTACCATATTAGCCTAGCAATGTTAAGGCATTCTTAATAAACGCCCATAATTATTGTTTCAAAAAATAAAATTTAAAAATTAATTAGATTATTGTGTCTACAAAATTATTAATAATATTAAAATAGCAAAATGTATAATTTTATAGGTAAATTAATGAATGGTTCAATATTTCTCTAACATTAGAAGTTATTAAATTGATATAAAATTAACTCATTATTATAGTTACGGCATATCGGAATTGGTGTGAATAATAACTAATACTAATACATATAGGTAGTGCCTACCTATACTAAATATGATAGATAATTTGATCGACCTTTTGATAATTTAACCATTATAAATTATAATATTGATAGCTATAAATAAGTAGGTGGAACTTCGTAGTTCGTATAACATTATAGTTAAAGAATAAAGATGCTTATGCATTTCACACATCTTTTTCTTTAGGACTTGTTCGATATTCAATGTCAAGAGTAGTTGTTGGTAGCAAATTGGATTTATTTGGTACTTTAGGTGGGTAACAATTGATAATTCAAAGTACTTTCAAAATAAACAGGGGAAAAAGGAACGATAACTTATTCCATATGAAAAATGATTTTGAATGATTTTGTCAACCTATATTACTAAGTATATTTTATGTTATGTATATTAATTATGCTGGGATAGTAATTTATTTTAATATTTGTATTTTGCAGGTAATACAGTAGGTGTTTCGTGGTATAAATAAGCTTAAGGTTTATCTAAATATGTCATTGCATGTAGTAATATTTAATAATACTTATAAAAGTTGGAAATCCCCACGATTTATATTTTTTAATTACAGCAAAATAACTAAAATCGTATTTTTTCGTTTAACTATCTAATTTTAACCAAATTTATATATTTATAAAATTATTATTATGGATTTACTCTCAACTTTATCAGAAGAACGTATGAAGAACCTTAAATTAAATTTTCAAGTTTTTCGACTGAGCGAAAAATATTTTATTGACATTTGTAGAAAAAAAAAATCGAAGTTTGTTAACTGACTTTAATTAGCACAAAACGATATAATATCTTGAAAATTATCCCATGTATAAAAAATGGTAAAAATTTAACATATTATCTACAGTTTTAGTTTTAGAATTGACACTAAAATAAGGAAATCAATTTAGTAGAAAACTTGTTTTGCGTAAAATTCCAGTTTTTTCTTCATTTTTTTTTTTTTGTTTAGCCCGGTGGCCCGATTCATTTAAAAAGTAGGAACTGGGAATTTTCAATTCCAAAATCCCCAAAAGAACCAACTAAATCCAATTTACTATCAAAAATCACTTTTAAAGTCGAATATTGAAATATTTTTTCTACTTTAAATCGTGTTAACTTACAGCTAACACAAAAAAAACTGTACACTTATCATTGTAAAATCTAAAAGCTAAAACTAATAAAATAAATTTGTTTTTTTTAAACTATATAGAAGTTTATTTAACAAAATATAACAGTTGGGTATATGAGTGGTTAGGTTGTGACCCAGGTGCGTCTTTGAGTAAATTCCATGTTATTTAAGAAAAAAATTTACTTTTGAATATCACCTTAATACCTTATTAAAACAAAAGATTAAAACCTGTATGTTTGAAGTAATATCGTACAAAGGCAGAAAAACAATACAATATTTAAAAGTTCAATTTATTCCTTCGCATTAGGTACATAAATACTTATATTTATAATAAAAATAGTTTATATTTAAGTAAGTTATATAACAAATTGCAAAACTCTTTAATTGGAAGCAGCGAAACGATCAATAATGCTGTCTATATTGATAATTTCTGTGTATATTTAAAAGTATATTTAATCCAGTCAGCCTCTCCTCACTCATTCGGCTTCTTCACCAAGTTTTTAATCTTATAAACAATACAATAGTCAATAATACACCATAGAAATAATAAGCAAAAAGTGTAAGCAGAAGTAATGAACAAAAAATAATTTATTTACCTAATTACTTTAATATTTAAGTTTGTAAATTAAATGCATTCATTAGTGAATAATTGATTTACTGAAATAAATATTAAAGTATAGTAGTTAACGAAAGAGAAATTTAGATAATAGTATTTTTAAGTATCAATAAAAATATAAGTGAACATATTAAATACTTAATAAAAATAAAAATTGAGTAATTAAAAAAGTATATAGTTCAGCTAGTAAGTATTTTAAATAAAGATTTGTATTACCAGGGTAGCCAACTAAAATGTAAAAACAAATTGAAATATAAAAAAAAATTATTTAAAATGTTTACTTAAAAATTATGGATATTTTATGAAACGAAAACAGAAAATTATACGTTTGTCCCCCCCCCCCACTCAGGGACGCGTTTGTTGTGACAATTTGAATGCATAGTACTATAATAATGATTGGTCACAAACTCACGAATACACGCAACAGTTAGTCATATAAATATTAAATATATAGTGATAATAATAATGGCGACACAAAATATATAAAAACACTATTAAATAACCAAATTATGTATGTATATTATATTATAATATTTCCTAGCTTCATTTTATCACATATCGTCTGCATGAAATTGACTGTAAGAAAAATTGCCAACTTTATAGACTGAACTGAATGGGGTACCTGCGTCTGACGTCACGTTGTACCTACTTGTCATAAAGGTCAAAATTCAATATTCCGTAGTTTTTGAGAGTAAAATAATGCAACATAATATATAACATATAGCTATTTATTTTGGTATACATTTCAATAAGTATAGCCAATAAGCGTATTATAAATAGCTACATTATCGATCACACCTATCACGCTACGAGCTACCGAAGTAGTTACACATCACAAAATCGTTTGAAACGTTTTTAAGAACAACAGTATTATATAGTAGGGTATTGCCATATTGTTCTGTGGTATTGCTTTAGATATTATCATTGATTATAAACAGAAGATATTATTAATTATTATAGCCTGTGTTTTAAATACTATAATAGTAATTAGTAGGAACCTTTCTAATTATAATCAATGGTATTAATCATTATTATACAATATGTCGTTGAATATCATAAACAAAACTATATAGGTATATAGATTATAGATACGTTAACATGAGTGACCTCGGCGGCCCGTGTACGGGAAAGGGAAAAATACTAAAAACGTAATTATATCCTTAACCTATATATAAAATGAAATGATCACCTAAGAATATAAGACCTATAATCGTCCAGTCAGCGTATCTTCTCCACTTTTGATTGGCTCATATTTGAGAGGGGCAGTGTATCAAACAACTTGTGATCTATTTTGTCATGATATAAGTATATAAGTTCACGCAGTAATGTAGCCATAGTCCATGTATGATTGGTGATAGGAAGGTATAGCGAGGTGCCGAGGTAGCCAGTAGTTGAAACTCGGTCAGTAACTAAATTTGATACTCGGCGTTTTCCCTTTTTTTTTTACCAACTTTCAATACACACTTATATATTATAAAATATTTTTTCATTAGATTTATTAATAATATTTTAGTGTAAAATAAAATAAAATAAATGATCGTAGCTAATCGTCCGACCAGAATAGTTGTGTAATATATTTTATATTCATAGTTCATTAGTTCGTGCCTTCATGGTAACCTAACCGTCGCGAGTAGTCACCATATTAATATTAATAATAATATTATTATGTCTATAGTCGTCACTCGTCAGTCCACCACCGATAAATGATGCACGCACGTTGCACAACATAATATAATGATGATAACAAAATAATAATAATAACATCTAAATAGAATAATAATATAATCCTCAACAAAAATACAACACACAACTATTTATTTTGTATTGTACAAACCACGAACTATGAGATAAATTTTACTTAATATATAGTAATATATCTTACCTAATCTAACATAAAAACTAATGTCGAGTGTCAATATTTTATACTCCTGTCCTGCCTTGGTGAATAATTAATATTGATAATAATATTATGTTTATGGCTTATCGATTCCGGACGCTTTGACGTCACGAACGCGTTCGTTCGTTATCAATATTTTATCAACAACTCGCCAGAATGATTAAACATATGTTCATTGTTCAATGTTCAAGCTTTTCACTCTACTGAGCTGCTCACTGTGTTGTAACTCGGACAAGTTGGATTCCTCCTAGTTTTTTATTATTTTTTTTTACTGGTGTTGTGTATAGTTGCTAATAATTACTGTTTACCTTTGTAAAATGTGAAAAATTAATTATATTTCCTATCAAATTCTACACGATTCGGTTTAGAGCTGAGATTTCACTGTATAATATACTGAATAACTGGGGCACGTCAAATTGTTGTTTGATTAGAGTTTAACAATCCGAAAAGGTCTTGCTCATAAATGTTGAAGTAATTGTACGTCTAATTCCAATATTAGATATATTTTGTATTTTTTACAAAAATATTAAATTCCATCAACAATGAGTCGACAACCAGAAAACCATATCATGGTTAGTATATTACATACATTTTGAATATTATAATTTCATACAAGTATTTACTAATATAGCTTAACTTTATGCAAGTTATAAAATAAATAAATATAGTATATTCTATGGAAATATTTTACCAACAGTAAACCAAGATTACCATATGATAACCTTTTATTATTAAATTATATTACTATCTATGTCATAATATTAAATTATCTAATTATGAAATGGTAAATGTACTTGTCGGTTGTCATTTAAGTGAATGATAACGGTAAGCAAATAACTTACTTTTATATTTGTATGCCGTTAATGTACTTAATAATAGTATATTATCTATACTTCATCAAGAAATATAAAGAAAAGATACTCAGGATATAAAGTTAGTGTTTTAAGTATTCATCTTATTACTGGCCTTGGGTATTGGATATTTGAGAAACAAAATTATAACTATTTGTTTTGAAAAAAATAGACTAAAACAATATTTGAAAATTGATAATTTCTTTAAGTACAAATAACTATTTGATAAATGAAAATATATTATTTTTTGTTCTGTTCACAAAAACCTAATTAGCTATTAACAATAATAACTTGTTTGAGAAATAGATACCCATAATTGTACCTTCTTTTAACTATCATGTAGGTACATGAAGTATCCTTTATTTTTTCTTCATCATCTACATTCAACATTTTTAATTTTGTTCACTATTAGCTTAGTATCTATTCTTTTGTATTTAAATTATTTAAGTAGGTACATACAATTTTGGTTTTATGTTTAATTAATACTTTAATTTTAAGTGTTATTTACTTTTGGGATTAAAAATTGATAATTCAATCATCACTTTATCGAAATATACAAATTATATTCACAGAATAATTGTTTAATGAAAAATATCTATAAAACAACATGTAAAAGAAAGATTGTAAAAATATATAATTAACAATTTATGAACGGTTATCTTGTTTTGATTAATGTCAAAGTTCACGTTGAAAACTGTTAGTTATAAAAGTGGGCAAAAAAATACTTAAGACGAGGTTATTTTGTATATTTATGTTATTATGCATTTGCTTATTGAATCATATTATTATTTAATTATTTAAATACAAACCATAACTGTTGATTACTTTATTGTATTGATGATTAAACAAGCCATATTTTAAACCAAACAAAATGTATATCTTTAAGTATATTACCTCTTAATGCACCTATAACACTTAAAATTGTACTTGAGAATTTATTAGCTGTATTACATTTTTCTTGTGATTTATATAGGATATTCCTCCTCCTGTATACACAAATGTCGCAAATAATACTCAACCAGGAGAATCAGAAAATGGAAATGTTAATGCTACTCAGCAAAATCCAGTTCATTCACCGACATCACCACAGGTCGGTATCTAATTTAATGATATAGTGCGAGATAAATAAAATAAAATAATCAATTATTATTATTTGTTAGCATTATGATGTGCAGCCTCCTAGATTAGACTTTTCTGCTCCTCCCCCATATGAAGACTGCAACCCAGATTTTGTAAAGCTACCAACTTATGAAGAAGTGCAAATGGAAAAGCGATTAGAAGGAGAAACATCTCCAAGATTACCTGTTAGTTTCATTATTTATTTTGATTAAAAAATACGATTATATAAATATTGCCAAAATAATAAGTTAACAATTTCCAGGGAAGAGTTATTGGAGGACCTCCTAGCATTGGACCATTACCACAAGAAGTAATTATAAAATATTTTAATTTTTTGTTATTTATTGTTTTTCATCAGATAATTCTCATCTGGTTAAGTTAGGTATACATTTTTTAATGGTGAATAATAATTCAAGTAAATACCCTAGTAATACTAGTACCTATTTATAATCATTGTTAATATCTAGGTATTTAATTAATATATACCTAGTGAATATTTTATCATCTCAGACAATGTACATGATATTGATATTGTTGGTTAAATATTTACTTTAAGCCTTGATTACCAATTGATAACTTTTATCTTATTAATATTTTGATGACAATAGAATGTTTTTATTTTTCTGTCTGGACAATTCCTGATAAATTTTAAAATTTTATAATATATATTCTATTGTCATTAAAAAAAAAAATGTCCTTTGCATTTTGCATTTTTATTTAAAATTCTCAATAATAAGTTAGGTATAACTATTAATTAAATAAATATAGAGCTATAATTATTTTTATTATTAATGACATTATTTCTATACTACTATTTAGTACCTACTATGTGTATTTAATGTTAATGTAAATAAAATATCTTATTAATATTCCAAAGCAAATTTGAGATTAAGTAGGTACCTAATAGAATTTTCTTAGAGTAATTTACAAATCATAATTCGACTCTATAATGATGCATATTGTTTCAGTGGTACACTGGACATTTAGGCAAATGCCCGAGAGGTTGTTCCTTATATTAAGGTTTTTGATGCTGGTATATAACATGTACATATCATCAATTGTATCTACTGTCTAATAATAAATTAAATACAAATTATACGTCACAAGCATTGCATTATCTTCAATTATTTTATTGATTTAATCATATACCATTTTTATTATTAGTTCCTAAAATATGAATGAAACTTTAAATGTTAAATTAAATTATAAGCATATATTGAAATATTTATATTTTACATAGTTATAATTGAGTTTAAAATTATAATGTCTACTATAAAAGTCTACAATGCCTTTGATAAGATGTTTACCTTTTTAAATTATTACATTTCATAATAATTCATGATTTACTAATGCATTTAATGAAAAACAACAAATGGATTCTTCTAAATTCAAATTTTCTATGTTGTGTTTATTTTTTCAAGACTACACATCCAATTTTAGTGTTCCTTTGATTACATTAAAACCTAATAAGTATATTCTTAATTATTTTTTAGTTTTATTTATTTTTGAGCATCAAAAACTCGAAATATTATGTTAATCAGGCAACTGCATACAATTATATTATAAATTAAAGTTATAAGGGTGCAAACTTTAAGAATTATGGTATAACCACTATAAACGAGAATGCACATTGGAAATAGCTACTTTGTATATTTATGTTAAAATATATTCTTTAAATAATTCAAGTGACCGATGATTATTTATTTGTAAAAGAATTTAAAAAAATTTTTGGGCCGCTATCTAAATTTGCTAATTAAGTTGAAGCCTGTCTAGATCATCTCTGTATTATAAAATATTTTATGTTTAATTTATTTATTTTTCAGATACCTGCACAAACATTGACTGTTCTCACAATTGATGCTGCACCTAATCCATGTGAAATTGACACTAATTTATTAGGCACAGACTACATGTTTTTGACTGCTTTTTTAGGTACATTATTTTTTTAGTTATAATATATACATATTTACTATTTATAAATTATATTTTAACTGTTTTTGTTTTTTATAGTGGCTTTGCTATTCAATTGGGTGGGTTTTTTGGTGTTAATGTGTTTGTGCCAAACGGTAGCAGCTCGTTATGGAGCACTTGCTGGATTTGGATTATCATTAGCAAAATGGACGATGATAGTTAAACGGAATACTGAAATGTCTGATTTATCACCAGAAAGTCGTTCAAATACATGGCTCTGGTGGTTAGTTATGGCATTTGGATTTTTAATTTGTATTCGTGCTGTGATACAATACATGAACATCAAACGTGGCTGGAGACTGCTTAGTGTTCCTGCACAAGAACGAGTGTTATATTTTTATTAAATTTTTGATCTGCTGGTAAAGTAAAGTATATGAAATATTTATTTAAATTTATTTTTGTTCATGTTTTGTTTTATGTTTAAAGTCATAAGTATTAGAAAAACTATTTAAAAAAATAATTACTCAACATTAATTGCAAGTATTTAACCTTTGACAACACACAAAGACACCAATTTAATTGCAAAAATGTAAAAATTAGGTGGGGTACCAAACACTTAAGTAAATAAAGTTCTCAAAATCTTTTGTGTTATAAAATAACAAAATTATGTAGACTTTAATAACAAATTAAAAACAAAAAAAGTATGGCTGTGCTAATGTTGTCTCGTCAAAACATGTCTGAATGGAAATAGAAATTGATTTAAGAAATGAAATGAAAATTTATTTTTATGATGATAAAGAATCTAAAAACAGTTAAGGATTGTGTTAAAATTCCAATGGGGCTGGTCGAAAAATAGTTTTTTTTGTGAGTTATGACAAAAAAGAGAATATACACTAGAAATCACTAAACATTCCAATATACAAATGTAGCAAAATATTCCTGCTCGAATTGAGTCAAGACGTCATGTTCTTCTTTCGCATACTCGTATATATATTGAACATGAGGACATTTACCAAATGTAAATATTTCAGTCATCACTAGATAAATGTATGAAACAAGACAAGAGCGCCCACTCTAATAAAGGGGGAGGGGAAATCAAAGTTCAGCCTTTTATTATTTTTAAAATAAATATTAACTAAAATCGTAGGGAGTCATGCCTCCCCCAGGCCATCCCTGCAGATGCTCTTGAAACAAGATAAGGAAATTATTGATTGGTATACTAATATATATATATATATGTGTGTGTTCTATATCTAAATATAAGAATTGAACTATTTTAATAAAGCTATACATTTTTTTAATTTTTAGATTTACGTTCACTGTTGATATAAACTATAAACAATTAAATATGGGGTATATTTTTATCCAAAGTGTGTTATCATGGGTTAAAAAATATCAATCCCCATTTTAGATATTAATTTATATAAAATGATAACTAAATAGTGGCTATTCTATATTCTAATGAATTTTTATCAAATTATGTTTAAGCAGTTAGATTGTTTATTCATCTGATTATGAAATAATTAACAAATTAAATACGAGTGTACAGACGTCATTTATTTTGAATGGTTTTAGTGGTTGTGTTATTTTTACTAGAAATACCTTAAGACAACTTGTCTTTGGGTACAATCAAATACTTATAGTTAGGGAACATTTAAATTTATTTTTAAATGTGATTAAATATGATAAAACCATTTTAAATTTGAGTGCAATTTTTTATTTTTGAACTGATCTTTTGTAGGTAGTTTATTTCAAGTTATAAATTAACTTTGATAGTCATTTGTAATGTATTTTTTTCATGATATTTAATTTAATTCTTATTGAACTCTTATGTATTGACCTTTTTTTGTAATAGTATTTACTGCTTATATGATTGTTATAAACTGAATTTGGAAAATAATAAATTCCATCCATTAATATCTGTGATTACTAGCATTTTCTTTGTGTAATTTATTATTCTTATCTTTTCTGTAAAATTTATTTGTTTTTTAATTGTATTATTTGTAATTATATTTTGAAATGCATACATAGGTACTTTCTTTGAAGTTAAATTTTCTATACTAAACTTTAATATTTAATTATGGAAGTATAAAGTAACTAAACAATTATTTATACAACTATTATATTTATTATACTTTATAAGTATTTTATGTAATGTTACTAAAAATTATATTTTGATTCTTTAGATCTTGGTTATAAAATAAAACTTTCATTCATTAAATTTAAAAAGAATTTTTTTTTGTTTTTAAATAAAATGTAAATACTAATTTCTTTTTGCCATAATTAGTAATATAATATTACAATTTTTATAAACAAGGCTTTTAACCATAAAGTATACAATTATTTTAGATGTTAAAAAAAAATAATACGGTGGAGCGTCGATTATCCGCACTAATTGGGATCGAAGGGGGTGCGAATAATTGATATTTGCGGATAATCAAACAACCATTGAAAATTATTTAGGTTCAAACAAACCAACTAAATTTAAGATTACAACGTACAAACATTGGAGTGAGCCATAGTAGATAATAAAATAATCTCGCATTTCATAATATAACATAATAATATATATAATGTTTGTTCTTTGATATAACCATTGATTATAAATACTAGTATTTATAATCAATGATTTAACATAACATTATACTTTATAGTACACAATAAAAGGAACATAACAAATGATAAAACTAAATTAAATTAAACTAAAAACAAATTTGTACACAAAAATTTTGTTGTGCGGATAATCGACGCTCCACAGTATACTGATAAAAATTTTTTTGGCTTTTGACCATTGATAAATAATAAATATTTATGGTAAAATTTAACTATATGCATTATAATACACTTATAAGTAGTTAATAAAATGGTATATTTCTTTAAACATACATTATAAAATAAAGTTATTAGTTTCATATAATATGGTCATTGATCTGAAATAAAGTATAGTCAATAAATTATCCAAAATGTTATGAATTCAATTTGAAAATTGAAGTGATTTATGTATATTATATTATTGTACTAAACATGTATACAACTATTTTATTTATTTTCTATGATAACATTATATTTTTTTTGTTTTTATTATTTTTAAGATAATTATTTATTCACTTTATCATTATAAAGTATTAGTGTAAGTTCTTATAATTGATAGTTATTACTTAAAATAATAAAGCTATGTGTACCTATCAAATATGAGATTATATTATGTAATGTATGTGTTTTTCGTATATATATTTTCCCCTTTAGATTGTTGTTTAAGTGTGATCAACTTTTTAAACACATTTCATTTTAAACACGTTCATAGATTAAATTTATTTATGAACATCTACAACTATCATTCTATATCTTAATATATATACTTGTATTACTCTCACATTTAACATACTTATGGGTGATCTTTGTTGCATTTCTAATAATAGTATTGAACGCTATAATATATTATGGTATGTATTATTTATTTGTTAAATTGTTTGTACAATTTATTTTGAGTGTTAGTTTGATTATTGTGTGTTAACAATAAAAGTTTATAGAATATTTATAAGTATCTACACAAATCATTGTTTCTTTATTCTATGCATTACAATTTTGTGAAACCTAACAGTATTTTTTTTTAAACATAAATCTTCAAACATCTTATGCCAGTTTTAATTTTAAAAACCAAAGGAGTTTATTTGTTGTAATATATACGTCAAGTTTAACATGTCATTGAGTAGGTGACTGTATTTGGGGAAGCATTAAATTTGTATTCAATAATAATTCATTGCATACAAAAATCGATTCTGAGCGGAGATGGTATGTCACTATGTCAGCCTATAGTTCTAAGTGCCATTTGATTATTTATATTGCTATATATAGTAATATTATTGATTGAAGTATTGTTTTCCAAAAACAAGTTGCATACAATATTATGTAATAATTGTTAGGTAGGTATAAATGGTATAATATTATTTTATATCAAACATATTTTCTATCTGGTAAAAGGTACCTACAAAGGTAACCGTATAAAAAAATGTATGTAGCTACTTATTTATAGTAGAAATTAACTATTAACTTATTTACGATAAACAAAAGATATTATTTAACCATATCACATTACAAATTAAAATAAAACTTAAGTAGGTACCTACTTATATAGTAAATAGGTAGATACCTATCAAGATTGCCTACATTAATGTGGGTAGGTGCCTTGTGCCTACATTAATGTGGCGAATCGATTTTATCACAGCACTTTTTTTCCTATACTGCCTCCGATGAAGATATTAAGTTTTATAAATTTATAATACCTTGGAGTTAAGATGTCAATAACTTACTTTGTACATAGTTTCATGGGTGATTATTAAAATATTATATTACAATTACCAAGTTTATCAGTTATCTACTCGGCTACCTACTCTGTTAAGTAGGAACCTACTACCTACCTACCTGGCTACCTATACAGTAGACATTTCATTGTTTATTCGATAAAGTATGTATACTCCCTTCAAAATAGAACATGATAAAGCAAATAACTCATTTAATTGTATTTATCGCAAAATATAGCAATTCTTTAAATACCCAGTAAGCTATTGGTAATTTAAACATGCCAGCATTATATTTTATTATAATTGATTTTACCAACTTAGTGAGTAAAAACTTAAATAGGTAGGCACCTCCATATCTTAGGTCAATTTTTTTTCTTGCAGGTACTTAGGTACTATCTTTAAAAATATAATTATTATACATTAATTGTATAGGTACCTGTTATGAAATAGAATATAATAGGTACCTACATTGGTATCTACTGACTACATGCAAGTTTAAAATTTTAAATCAACTATTAATCGTATTTAAAATTACTAAATAAACTTTTATTAAGTTTGTATGTAAGTTTTATCTAGTAACTTTATTTTGACTGTCGGTTAAAAAAGTTTTACAAATTCCTTTCAAAATCATTAATTTAGAATAGGTCAGTATTCGATTTCTTTAATGGTTTATTAGAGCATACGTAAATAGATAAATACCTATAATATCTAGATGTTAGGAAAACACGTGGTACAAACAAGCAAGCAAAATAATTTCTTGAGGGTAGGTAAGTAGTTATCGTCACAGAATATAATATCTTAATTCGTGGTACCTAGAGAGCCTTAATGGCTTAATAGAGGCTCTCTTGTGGTACCTACCCATTTGTGTTCACCCGGGGGAGGGGGGGTTAAGTTAATATTTATTGTTTTATCACTTATAAAAACAGAAAAGTAGTATGAAGCATGCTGTGTTTTCAGAGAATTTTGATTTTGGTCTCGCGGTTTAAAGTTCTGCGCACGCCCTTGGTGGCGTTTTCTGTCACTGGTATGGACGGCGCTTTAACGATTTTAGTGTATTTCGTATAGGAAGACTCGTATTTCGTAAATCGTACACAAATCAATCACTTGAAAACTGATGATACCTTCATCAGTATGACCTTCTCTTAGACTTTTGCTTCCAGGTAAGCGAATTGGGACTATAGCCTATAGGGCCCAACTCCATGTGGTTAATGTGGTTAGTTAGGTATTGCGGTAATGCAGCTGATCCTGCGTATTATGTCCTCTTTAAAAAAAATACCTATGGTTGTAAAGAACAGTAAATAACAAAATGGTAATATGGTATATTGTAAATTCGTAAATTCTTAAAATTGTATGATTTTTATTAGGTATATCATTGAAGCAGGTATACACACGTCACACGTATTACGTAGGTATGTTAAACATGCCAAAAAACCTCGAATCAATAATGGTCTGTTAAGTATCTTCCTTTGTACAGACCAAAGAAAACATTTTTTTACTACCTATGCTGAACACGTTCGGTTTGTTGTAAAATAAATATTTTTTTAAGCAGTTATCGTGTTCAAGTCAAAATTTGAATATGAATTTTAAAATTAGGTAGTTGTGTAAACAGGTATTCAAAAAATCGTATAAGAAAACGTATACCTAATTGTTATTTGTTTTGGTAAAAAAATATACGATAATTCTTAAATTTTTAAATTTTTAAATTACTATATGTCTTGTTGATATTTGTTTTAGGTACACCGAATAGTAATTAGGTAGTAATTACTAATTAATAATAACTAATTAGACATAGTTATTAAAAACTTGTACTATAAACTATACCTATACCTATTCTTAATACTGTCTCATTTAAAAAAGTCATACTTAAAATTTTTCAGAATTATATACATACCTATCATATGAATATATACTTCGTAGGTGGTAAATTCTAGATTGGTACCTAATAAAGAATAATGTGATGAAACTTTATAAAAATGATAAATAAATAGTAATTATTTAATTAATTTATGAATATCACACTTATTAAGACTGTATAAAATTCATTTTGAAATAAATATTACCTATTTGAAAAAACATATTAAGGGTGATTATTTATTTAAATATATTAAATTACGTCCACTTATATAATCAAAATTGACTATATTTTGTATAAAATAAAAAAATTATTATTATTTGAATTGTTCGACTGTGTCTACTAAATAACATTAAATTAGATAGGTTAAAAATTATGAGAAATTAAATAAGGCTATTTAAGGTACTTATTACTATTATTTTTTTGTTTAACAATTTCATTCAATTAGCTATTATTTTTTTAGTTATATATTTCAAATTACTTGGGTAAGTATTTCATATTAAACGTGGTTTATTGGTATGTACCTAAACTTGTTTTAAGTAATAGGTTCACTGACTTTTCAACTTTTTTTGTATAGAAAATATACTGAAATATGCCGTGTGAGCTTAAAAAATATTTATAGTAAAAATATTAAATTATCACATTTATGCTATACGGATGTATCATACGTGTGCCTCAATGTGTGATACTAATACACATAATCTACACTTTAATAAATAATAATAATTTCTATTATAGGTACATACTTACTATTCATTAGTAATACCCATTACCCAAAACCCAAGTACCCATCTTTATTTTTTATCGTAACAAATAAGTAATAACTTTGTCATATCATTGAATATAACGTTAAATTTATAATATCCATAAAAATAAATTTTAAAAAAACAGTTCGCGCTGAAGCAGTAACGTTTTACAAACAATTTCATAGTTCACTTTCATCTCATGCCAATCCCCTTTATCAAATTTAAATTACGGGCAATCCAACGAGGAAAAGAAATTGGTGTCGAGATTTATTTAATGATTAATTAAAAAAAATATTAAAAATAAACAAATAAACAAATAGCTAACAGATAGTGCTTTCATTGGATGGCTTCTTCTCTCACACTTTTTCATGTAAAAAACGTCTCACTAATCAAATATTCATATTGTGCCCAAGGGTACAGAGTGTATATATTATTTATTAAAAAAAAAAAAATACATTCCGTTTATAATAATACAATAGCTAGATAGGTTTTATCTCGATATCATATTATGATATTAGATAACATAAGTAGCCAATATTCCATACTTATGGAATGATTAGGTATGCATTGTGTTTGAAAATGTCTGCTTTGTGACCGACTATATAGTGGGGACCAGGTTTAAATGACATATATCTATCTTTTGTTCGACAACGATTAGGTATAAAAGGATCTTGGCTGTTTCAATTAGCAGTTGTTGATAATTTTTACTCTCGGCTAGACTGAACAGTATAATATCAATTTAGCGATGGCTGTTTTAAATATCGTCATTTACACAACATTGTTTGTCGTTACTTCACTAGGTGCCGTGCAAGTAAGTAATATAAATCAATACTTACTACTCCAGACTTCAATACTTTAACTTTTAATATTTTAATTTATTACCATGCGGTACAAAAACGTGTAACTTAGTGTTAAGGCAATAATAATACATTTTTTTTAAATTTAACTTTCCAAAGGCATCTTTATTTGGTCGAAAAGTAGTCTTTATAAAATAAATACAATAGCTATTATATAATAGTAAACTGGGTATGAAGTATACACAATATGTGAGTAATATGTGAGTGCACCTGTACGTCTGAAAAGTAATAATTAATCCCCCTAAAAACATATTTTTAGTTAAGTACCTATTACTGAATTCCTTACCAGCCCGAAATGTTCGATATTGAACTCGATCCGATTATTGCATAGAACTTATATAAATTAATTTAAGAGATCATTCTATTTAAAATTTTTCATTTCAATGTTGCTGCAGTGTTGGTATAATTTAATAAGATCAAGGACGGATTCGAATTTTGGCCCAGCCAGGAAAAATTAATATTTAGCGGTCCACTATACTAGTTTACTACCAGGCCCGTATCTGGGGCAAATACTATACACATGAAAAAAAATATGACAACACTAGGTAGGCATAATAATTGGAAACGATCGCACTGATGTATTTATCATAATGTTAGTTAATAATTTAAATTAAGTTGAAAGATTCAAATATAAGTCCACTCTATGTACACAAAATACTATTATAGTTTATAATATTTAACAATTTTAAATATACACTATTTAACTTACCTACTTTGTATTAAATCAATTTAAATACCAGCCCCAAGTGTAAAATAAATTAATAATTATTATGTAATATTAATGTGATACGAAATTGTTGTTTTATTGAACATGATCATTAATACCATTTTAACATGACATTCACAAGTTCACAACAAAAAGAACAACAGTTATTAGTTATTACCTAGGTAGTAGGTACCTACTTGTTATTCAGTTATTTTTAAACTAATATAAAATATTTATCAACAATAACCATTATTGCTATTTTACTTTGCAATTCTCTCTATGAAAAAATGTACGAGAAGCCTTTGAGAAAAAATTCTACAACTAAAGACATTGTTACAAAATAGTGCGGACGCTTTGGCCCTTCTGGAATTTTTCGATCGCTCTATCACCCAATCTGTGCCTGAATGAGATAATATAACTAAATAGATGTGGAAATACAGTTACCAGCTAGCAGCTTATAACTTATTACTTAATTTAATACCTACGTGTGTATTTAGGGTATACCGATTGAAATCGATGAAAATCAGTGGATAGTTGATGCCCAAAATTCTATAAAAGGTTCTTTGTCAAAAATAGAATCGTATGGAGTAGAAAATGAAAAAATTGTGACGATTGCCAACCAAGCATTCGATGCATTTACTAAGTCCGTGGAAAATGACCTGTCTACAATTATTAAACAGGTATTCTATATCAATTTAATTAATAAGGTAATCATTTTCATTTATTTAATTGTTTTAAATTCATACACAACTTTAGGTAATTTTGACCTAATTAAAATTTATGCAAATAGTTGATAATAACACATTTGAACCGCATCAGTTCAGGGTTAACTATTGCGATGGGAGTCGGAAGATACCAATAGATGTACATTTTATAGCCATGGTTTAAATTTAAATTATAAGTAAATAATCTACTCAGGTGGCAATGTACATCACAGTTTTGGCCATTGCTTACCAGCCAATGGTGTAGCTGTGAACCGCTTTTTTGTTGGGGGGGGGATGAGGGGGCAAAATATAATTAAATACCTCACTTTAAAATAGTTATTGATAACATCATAATGACTCTAATCGTAATAACACCGTACACAATTGCGCATTTCAGTTACGCTGTAACGTTACATTACGCCAAAATCCGCGTATGTGTCGCCGGTTTAATAAGTTGATAAGTCTTTTCTTAAACCATGCTGAATATCCAAACGAATATATTGTTGAAAAAATATTGCATAATCAAAAACAAATATGAGTGAAAAGCGTTTTTTTGGTTCGGGGGGGGTAGTGTAAAATGTTAATACATTTTGGTTAACACAATGTGTAAAAATAAACGAGAGTAGGTACTGTACGTATTACAAAAGGGCTAAAATTTGTTTATACGTCTGTGGTCTGTAAGACAAGGTGTTATGCGGGTGTGACGAACTCGTTGTCATTGTTCGTGGGATTTTAAAAATTAGATCGGCAAATTTAGCCCAAAGGTGGACACAAATAAATTTAATTCAGCCATTCTATTTTAAACCATTAAAAAATATTTTAAGATGTTATATGGATGTTGTTTTTTATGTAGGTGGATGATATAAAGTCTGAAAATTTACTGGGATTAAAAACTCAATTGATGAATTGGTCAGATGGTTTGGAAAGACTAAATAAAGGGTCAGACGTGATTGAGAATACGCCCGATAAAGCAATAGGAAAATTTTACATCACTATAGATTATATATCAAAAGAAGTTATTGGATTTGCACAAAATTACAATTACGATTCAACTGAATCGAATGAAATTGTTGAGCAACTCAAATGCTTACTTAAGAAATCTGTTGCCAAGTTGGTAGAATATGCAAGTTCCGTAGAGGTATTATTCTGATATCGCAATAATTGGGGGTGAATCTACCTATATTGTACCTGTTATTATTTTATTTAATTTTCAGGATCAAGTTTCCGGGATTTCTAAAATCGAATGAAGCATGAAAATAAAATACTTGTCTATTAATTATTATAGTTCATGAAAAAATTAGTGTTCACTGTACTAACACATAAAAATATTATTTTTTTCCAACACAATATATTATACTTAGCACACCTAATGTTTATTTTTCGATAAACTTGCACTCTCTTTAAAGTATATTTTTATTGTAGCTATAAGCAGATTAAAATAAATATGTAAATTCCACCTAAAGCGACCATTTACCTTGTGTATCTATTGATGTGGCCCTGTAAAGGTTTATAAATTATTTTTAACTATACCTGCTCTGTCAAAATACAATTGAAATTTCTGATTCGCTTGAGAATTGTATTATGTTAATATTTTGAAAATAAAAAATTATTTTTGACTTCAAAAAAATGTTTGAGTTAATGATACTCTAGTAATACCAGTTATATCTTCCTCGTATCTTTATAACATTAAAAATATTATTATATTTTTGTTTCATCAAACAGATAAAATGTATTTAACATTCTAAAGATTCTTTATTTAAAGAAAAAATTATAGCGATTGAAAATTTTGTGCGACTAGCGATTGTAACAAAATAATGTAACCACATAAGTAGGTATACCTACTCGTTAACGTGTGTGCACTATTCACATATAATGATGTTATTTTAAATAAGTTTGTAGTTATTCAATATCAAAAGTTATTTAACACGGATGGTTATTTGTGAATAATGATATGCATACAATATCTTTATTTTGTTAACTATTTTATGAATCAAGTGATTGTATTATAAAAATATTCATAACCTTCAAAAAATTAATGAATTAATAATCGACTAATAATATTCTATTATTAATTATAATTTATATCATTACATTGTGTTTAATATACTAAACGTGGGATTATCTAATTTCAATGTAATTGTTTTATAATTATTTTGTATTAAACCCACTGTACATACACATTACTCATGTATATTTTTATAGTAATAGGAATAATTGATATATTAAAATAAAATCTATTGCGGTGCCTAATAAAAGAAGTCTACCACAAATAAAATGAATTAGTCTCGACTAAAAGCGTAATAACAATATTTTCAAAGCCGGAAATTTCGTATTTTGGTATGTAACATATTTTGAATATTTATCTAAAAAATATTTGCTTATAATAATTATGATGGTTCCTAATAAATACACCATGAACACATTCAAAGTAAATATTTAATTTTTTATTTATAAGTTTACTCTAACGCGTAGATGGGTAGGTAGGTAACATGCTATACAGTGTAATTTAGAATTTTAGATATATTTTGAACCGGAACAGTATAATATGAACTTCGATTACTATATAATCGGTAGATGCAAATTACTTTTCTCGGGATGATTTCGTCGAAAAAAATATCCGTTCGAGGAAAATGTAGTTTAAGTCCATTATAATGTTTTTTTTTTTTTCTGACCGAGTATTTGAATTGACGTCATATTATATAGTCCCGATCGCGCGGGACGCAATGATCTCACCGAGAGGAATGGAAAAGGTTCATCCAATTTTCCGGTTGTTAAGGCTTGCGATGACACGCCGCAGCGCCACCGTATACCTACGTAATTATATCTAATTCAAACTGGTTGGAACAGCAGAAGAGAGGTGGGTGTCCAAGTAGTGTCTTGCACGAATACCGTTATATATGTGCGCGCGGTTCTGTAGGTATACTCATCTCAATGTCAGTGCGTAAGGTCGTTGATCTAGACGTGTACGGAAGGCAGGTAGTTGTTCGTTGTCCGTTACCCATCCAGCAACACATATAGTGCATATACGTGCGTTAGATTTACCGGTATAAAATAATATCGTGTCTCATTGTTATTATCGTCATCGTTAAATTAATTATTTCATTTCCGACATGACAATAATGCGTCTGCGTGAGCCTATTGTGTTCATTTTGGTTCGGAGATCGCACTCTAACGTTTGTGCTCTATCGATGTTATGAAGTGTAATATTATTATGTATGTGTATAAAATCGTCATCTGAGCCGTCAACCGTCGTTGCATTTGTTTTGACGTACCGAGTGAGTTATGGCTTGACGTCGCAGAACCAACGTTTCATTACACACAACTAAACACTAACTGGAAAACATTTTGGTAGGTGATTGAAAGTATCTATTAAAAAGATATTTACGTCACAGCTAATTATTTCAAATATTGTATGTATATAATATATATATATATAATGTCCATAGAAGATAAGATCATCGTGTTTATGAAATTCAAAACATATTTTTGAATCTCAAAGGAAATCTTTAAAATTAATTTTAAAACCATGTACGATTATGTCATGTGCCTAATTCAGCCCGCAGTGTTCCGTAAGAAAAAAATACCGTAGAAAATCATAGGTAGGTGTATAATAATGAACGATCTCTACGTGCCATTATAAATCTGATCTACTTTAACGTGAACCAATTTAACTGAAATATTATAGTTTTCGTAAAAAATACGCACATTTTTACCATCCTAGTTTTTATATCCTGCACGTCCGATTTCGCACATTTGAAAATTAGGTTAGAGCGACATGTTTATTATAACATACGTCTACGTGATCGTTGTCACGTCGGGCGCCGTTCCTTTCTTCTTCGCCACATCCGCCGTACATGGTATAAAATATAATACTGGCAATTGGCATCGGTTAGTTTCACCACCGATAGTGATAGTGACCTCAAACATCATCTGCGACCCATCGTGTGTCTTGTTTATGTTTTTAGATTAGCTGTTGTGATACTATGCGGTCCTCATGAGTGGCGTAGAAGTTATACCCATCGGAGCGATTGCGGGGGCTGCGTCGCAAGTGGCCTGGTTCCTGCCCGTTTTGGTCGCGGCTATTGCTTATTTCCACTATGAGGTAAATGATCCCGAGTCAAGGATTATAGACCAGCCCGGCGATTTGATACTCGACCAATATGATTTTATTATAGTCGGCGCTGGATCGGCAGGTGAAAATAATATTTTATTTCATTATAATACCTATCAAAATATATATAAGGTGGTTATGCAGCTGAGTTGTATTTCCGTGATAATTTTTATCGCGGTATCAGGACAATAACTTTTTCAAAATTATAAATATATAAAAAAAAACTTGAATATTTTTTAGGTGCGGTGCTGGCGAATAGGTTGACCGAAGTCGAAGATTGGAGTGTACTATTAATAGAAGCCGGTGGAGATGAAACCGAAATATCCGACGTGCCTTTGTTGGCTGCCTACTTGCAACTTACCCAGCTCGATTGGCAATATAAAGCAGAACCTCAGGATACAGCGTGTTTAGGTGAGTAACAAATTAATATATACGGACATATTTTGTGTACACAATTTATTTTGACCGTAATACATAAATTTACGACGAATTTACAAAGTTTAATTTCAAATTTATTGGTGGCATTAATAATGTGGTACTATTTAAATGTTAGGTACACACTTTTGAAGAATAATGATCCTAAAATATCATTAAGTTCTTCCATAGCTTGGTAATTGACACAAATTATACTTTAAGCATTGCATTTTTAAGTTTCCCAATAGGTACATAAGTTTCCAAAAAATGAAAAGCAAAATAGAAATTTAAGTTTTATGAAACTAATTTGGTTATCTCATTGTAATTATAAAAAGTCCAAAAATATTTTAATTTTGCATTAAAAATCTTTTCTCAGAAGTTTGTCCTAAAAATGGCAAAAAGCTTAAAAATATTAACAATATAACAATAAATAGTAGGTACATAAAAATATGTAGGTATGTATACTGTACTGTGTATTTATGATGTAAGTCAAGGGTTAAATAAAATAGTTTTCAAGCCATAATATGATTTTTATAATACTACACGTCTATACAAACATAATGCACGTATAATACTATATAAATTATATATTTATATAATAAATATATATATATTTCAGCTATGAAAGATGAACGTTGCAATTGGCCTAGGGGAAAAGTCTTAGGCGGGTCCAGCGTGTTGAACTATATGATGTACGTGCGCGGAAACCAAATGGATTATGACAACTGGTTGAAACAAGGAAATCCAGGTTGGGGATACAACGACGTGCTCTACTACTTTAAAAAATCAGAGGACAACAGAAATCCGTACCTAGCGCGAACTCCGTACCATTCGATGGGTGGTTATCTGACGGTGTCCGAAGCACCATACAAAACGCCGTTGGCCGACGCGTTCGTCAGGGCCGGCCAAGAAATGGGCTACGATATCCGAGATATAAACGGCGAACGGCAAACGGGTTTTATGATACCCCAAGGGACCATCAGAAGAGGAGCCAGATGCAGTACGGCCAAAGCTTTCTTGAGGCCAGCTAGACTGCGAAAGAACCTGCACGTGTCCATCAACGCTCATGTCACACGTGTGGCGATAAACCCAGAGACAAAAGTCGCGTTTGGCGTCGAAATGATCAAGGACAACGCACGGCATTTCATTCGGGCCAACAAAGAGGTACTGCTGTCGGCGGGTTCCATCAGTTCTGCACAGCTGCTTATGCTCTCGGGCATAGGTCCTAAGGACCATCTGACGGAAATGGGTATACCCGTTCTAGCCGATTTGGATGTCGGGAAAAATCTTCAAGACCACGTTGGACTCGGCGGGCTAGCGTTTCTCATTAACAAAGAGGTGATATTACTATGCACATTAACTAATAATATAATCAAAAAAGGATATTTTATTTGTTCAGATAAAAAACTAATGACAGTCGGTGTATAAAGGTCGGAACACTTAGTCTCTCCACATCAAATTTTGGGCACCTGTACTAAATGTTTTTGAGAGTCTTATAAAATATTATTTAATACAAAACATGTATTCTTATCAAAATTAAAAAATTACAAAAATTAGAAATTCATTTCAACGGGCCCTTAAAATAGCGGGGTCCCTGAACTTTAGATCCGACAGCCCCCCCCCCACTAGGAGGCACTGGGTACGCTACAGTGCAGTGCCTTAGTCAGATGGAAAAGAGGTACATTTTATCCATTGTTTCATTACTTTATTTATTTTTTTAATCAAAGGTTTAAAAATTAAATCAAATTCAGACATTTTAACTTCCCTGTCTAGCTTGTTTTCTTCCTTAAGTATGCATTAGTAATATTATGTTTCCCTGGAGATATCATACTTAATGTTAAAATATTATTAAGAGTAAGCACAATTTTATAAGTGACAAAAGCTTCAGCTGAAAGAAACTTTTCAAAAATGTGATTAAATTATTATTATTGTCCTCATCATGACTTATTCAATTTAATTAAAATGTTTGGTGATAATATACAGTATTTATTACATTTTCACCGATATTTAAAAATTAATTTATATTAATCTTAGACGTGTATTTTATCGTTCTAAAATTAATAATGATAAAATTAGTGCCCCAACACCAAATACATTTCCAGCTACGATAGGCAGGTACTTAATACTTAGTACTTATACTAAAAATATAACATCATGCTCTTTCGTTCGTTATACAGGTATCGCTAACACAAGAGAGAGTGGAAAATGTCCAAACGGTTCTGAACTATGCTACGATGGGCGACGGGCCGTTGACGGTCATGGGCGGTGTCGAAGGATTGGCGTTTATCAACACCAAATATTCTAATCAATCAGTTGACACACCGGACATTGAGTT